TTCAATATATTGTGTTGCAATTTTAATTAATTAAGAAAATATTAAAATCATCTGGCGTGTTTAATGAAAGGTTTAATTTTTTAATTTTTTTTTTAACTAAAATTTGACTTGTTTTTTCAACATAATCATCTTTAAAAAGTTACTGACTTATTAAACTGTTCACATAGCTAAATTTACATATTTCAGCAAAATAATTTTTTTCCGTGTGATTTGTTACGTGATACGTCCTTCTTCTCATCTTATGTGTCTAGTGGGTTACTTTATCCAATAAATAGAAAGATGCGAAGGCAGGTCGTGACTCGCGCGAGACAGAGGAATGAAACCAGAATGAATCACGAGGCCTCGTACGTCGTAGGTCGCGTATTACGACGCGACCGCGACGACGGCAAAGATGAAGAAGAAGCGAAAACGAGGGCGAAGTTAGCGAGCGAGTCGATGTAACGAGTCGATTTAGCCGATTCCATCAATGGGGATATCAATGCGGCGCTTTTCTCTCCTCTGTGTAAACACCACGAGGTCTATCTCGTCGTCATCCCCGTCCCGCCGCCACCCCGAAGCCACGAAGCTCCTCCGCCTTTTGCGTTGCTTTATTTCTCATTCCATTACGATCTTCTCTTCTCGCATTGTTATCATTCTTCCTCGCGAGAACCTCGTCTTCTTTTCGCGCAGTTTTTGCATCCTTTCTCTTATTTCTCTCTCTCTCTCTCTCTCTCTCTCTCTCTCTCTCTCTCTCTCTCTCTCTCTCTCTTTCTTTCTCTCTCTCTCTTTTTCCCGCGCACGCTTTTCTCAGAGACGAAGGAGCGAGACCCGGAGCGGCGGTTAGTAAATATGATATCCGGAATCGGATACAAGGAAACCATTAATCATCCAAGCGGGCGCGAATGGGACCTGGGCACGCTAAGTAGAAGATTTTTACTGGGGTTATCTGCGTCCGGACGAAAAGAAAGAGAGGCCACGCGAAATTGTTTAAAGCTCTCGCCGAAATTCTGCGAGAAACTCCATACTTACGAGCGCGTCATTCGAATTACTTTGCATTAAAGCTCCGATGAACTGCATCAGTTCATCTTTCTTCTTCTATTTTCCTTCTGAGAAAAAGAGAAAAGGAAGAAAGATGAAAAAAGATGCGAAAGTTCAGCTAAAAAGAACAGGCCTCCTGATAGCACAGAGAGAAAGTTTAAAAGAATTCAGTCGTACGTATTTAATTTTGAATTCATTTTCAGATGCAAGAATTCTTTTTCTGAGAAGTTCTGAAAAAACTTTTTTTTTGCAGCTGAAAATGAACCCAGAATTGATGACATACAACTAGACACCGGCACCGATGTGAATGGGGTGTGCAATCGGGAATGTAGGTTAATACGGGATCATCCCTTCAAGCGCTTAATAATTTCTTTAAGGACCGATTCCGATTCTTTTGGTAAATTTTACCTGTTGGATAATAGCAAGATTATCCAATCACATGCGCGGATGGCCAGACTTACCTCAGGTAAAATTTACCAAAAGGTGGAACAACCGGTCCTAAGTCTCATAAATCTAAATACAAATCTGAAAATAATTTTATTATTGGCAATTTGATACTAATTTTCACAACTCGGCATCAAAATAACGTACCCTGAAAAAATTTATTAAATCTCGATACATATTTCTTACAGTAAATAAATATTTACTCAATAAAAAAAAGATTAGTTAAATCAAATTAATTTTTATTATCAAATAAATACACGTTTATATTTAATATTTTTTTAAAATGTTACAATTTCAAGCATGATGATCTAAATGTAGGCTGCAAAATGTAGAGCGCTCAAAGTTGTTAGAATGTTAAAACATTCTAACAACTTTGAGCGCCCTACATAATTATTGTATTTGGATGGTCCAACAAAATTATATTTTCATTTTGTGTATAGCTCAGGATACTCACTATCGTTGTCGTAAGGATTGACGAGATTGTTCACGTAGCCAATATCAATCTTCGCTAAAATTCCTGCTCCTGTAAACCTCCCTGCTTGATGATCGCTCGGGCTTACCGCAACACGCACAGCTCAAAGAAAGATTCGTCGCTTTATATAAGTCTGTCCTTATATATACGTCCGATTCGCGGGTGATCACGATTACTTTAAGTCATCGCCAAGTCCACTTTCATTCGGATATTTTCGCGTATCTCTCTCTCTCTCTCTCTCTCTCTCTATATATATATATATATATATATATATATATATATATCTCTCTCTCTCTCTCTCTCTCTCT